AAAGGTATGAAATGTTAGGCTAAGGCTAATGCTAGTTTATTTATTTATATTTATTTATATTTATGATTAGACATATAGTCAATAAAAATCCAAATATATCACAGATTCACAATGCAATATATAAAATCATTATCACAATATTGCATACTGTGGACACACAAGCAAACAACACAGACACACACAACTCTGTCCATAAATTTGTTTGTCTCATTCTTACCCCTGCCATGGCCACCCTCATCCTTTCCCCTGTTAATGTTTCCTTCTCAGGTTAAACCCACACTTTTTTGAATCTGGCATCTTATTTCCTCTACCTGCAGCTCTTGGTGTGCAGCAGTCTCTGTGAGCGTTTCCCTCTTATTTTATCATTGCAGTCAGCCTTGGCAGCAGCTGCAGCACTACAGCAGGTAAGTCACTCAGCCAGTTTCAAACACTCAACAATCTTTATATCTTGTCATGGTCACATAATTGTTTAATCAGCTAATATATATGCTATGTTTGTTTTAATATCTCTAGTCACAGTTCACCTCCAGTAGTATCAGCAGCAGCAGCAACAACATCCCCTGCAACCCCTCAACAGCAGCTGTCCCCTGTAAGTTATGTCAGCCCACAGTGTTTTAAAGTAAGAGCTGGTAATATGCACACATCTGGCGCAAAGTTTTCCCCTTTCTGTGCTAGTGAGCCTAATTTCAAAAAAAGTCCAATAGCAGCACTAATACCCACACACAGTGATATCAATGCGTCTTCAGGTGGTGGTATCTGAAGCGCATTTATAAGGGGTTCGACACAGAGAATTTCCAGTGATCATGGTAAATGTGTTTGTAGCCAGGCAAAGCAAAAACATGTCACAGTAGTGGTGGAAGTACAAAGTAGTAAAAGTAAAGATACCACATGAAAAATGTTAATTCAATTATAGATATTTTCTATATATTAATGTTTTCAGCTACAGTGGGTACGGAAAGTATTCAGACCCCTTTAAATTTTTCACTCTTTGTTTCATTGCAGCCATTTTCCAAAAATCAAAAAAGTTCATTTTATTTCTCAGTAATGTACACTCAGCACCCCATCTTGACAGAAAAAAACAGAAATGTAGAAATTTTTGCAAATTTATTAAAAAAGAAAAACTGAAATATCACATGATCATAAGTATTCAGACCCTTTGCTCAGTATTTAGTAGAAGCACCCTTTTGATCTAATACAGCCATGAGTCATTTTGGGAAAGATGCAACAAGTTTTTCACATCTGGATTTGGGTATCCTCTGCCATTCCTCCTTGCAGATCCTCTCCAGTTCTGTCAGGTTGGATGGTAAACGTTGGTGGACAGCCATTTTCAGGTCTCTCCAGAGATGCTCAATTGGGTTTAAGTCAGGGCTCTGGCTGGGCCATTCAAGAACAGCCACGGAGTTGTTGTGAAGCCACTCCTTCGTTATTTTAGCGGTGTGCTTAGGGTCATTGTCTTGTTGGAAGGTAAACCTTCGGCCCAGTCTGAGGTCCAGAGCACTCTGGAAAAGGTTTTGTCCAGGATATCCCTGTACTTGGCCGCATTGATCTTTCCCTCGATTGCAACCGGTCGTCCTGTCCCTGCAGCTGAAAAACACCCCCACAGCATGATGCTGCCACCGCCATGCTTCACTGTTGAGACTGTATTGGACAGGTGATGAGCAGTGCCTGGTGTTCTCCACACATACCGCTTAGAATTAAGGCCAAAAAGTTCTATCTTGGTCTCATCAGACCAGAGGATCTTATTTATCACCATCTTGGAGTCCTTCAGGTGTTTTTTAGCAAACTCCATGCGGGCTTTCATGTGTCTTGCACTGAGGAGAGGCTTCCGTCGGGCCACTCTGCCATAAAGCCCCGACTGGTGGATTGCTGCAGTGATGGTTGACTTACTACAACTTTCTCCCATCTCCCGACTGCATCTCTGGAGCTCAGCCACAGTGACCTTTGGGTTCTTCTTTACCTCTCTCACCAAGGCTCTTCTCCCCCGATAGCTCAGTTTGGCCGGACGGCCAGCTCTAGGAAGGGTTCTGGTCGTCCCAAACGTCTTCCATTTGAGGATTATGGAGGCCACTGTGCTCTTAGGAACCTTAAGTGCAGCAGAAATTTTTTGTAACCTTGGCCAGATCTGTGCCTTGCCACAATTCTGTCTCTGAGCTCTTCAGGCAGTTCCTTTGACCTCATGATTCTCATTTGCTCTGACATGCACTGTGAGCTGTAAGGTCTTATATAGACAGGTGTGTGGCTTTCCTAATCAAGTCCAATCAGTATAATCAAACACAGCTGGACTCAAATGAAGGCGTAGAACCATCTCAAGGATGATCAGAAGAAATAGACAGCACCTGAGTTAAATATGAGTGTCACGGCAAAGGGTCTGAATACTTATGGCCATGTGATATTTCAGTTTTTCTTTTTTAATAAATTTGCAAAAATTTCTACATTTCTGTTTTTTTCTGTCAAGATGGGGTGCTGAGTGTACATTACTGAGAAATAAAATGAACTTTTTTGATTTTTGGAAAATGGCTGCAATGAAACAAAGAGTGAAAAATTTAAAGGGGTCTGAATACTTTCCGTACCCACTGTATGTCAGGCTCATTCAAACGGACTCTTTCAATACATTTTCAAATATAAAATACTAGGTATAAAATGAATTCCCTGCTTCCCATCTTGTATAAGTCCAGAGTTGTAATTGAACCATGACTGAGAGGCAGATAATCACTGTCTTGTTTTAGAATGATGTGCGCCTATGAGGAGTGCCCTCACATCTGTGTCTGGACTGGTCCCACAGATGTTTCTTGCTGGAATTTCACACGCAACACGGTTCGATTATTTCACTTTAACATTGTTCAGTCACAGTCTGACAAGCAACCAAGACACAAACAGCTGGGTAAGCAGGACAGACAAAGAGAGACGCACTGCAGATACATACGTACATACATGCACATACATATGTACATACTCACTTGCACTCACTGTTTCTCATTTGTTCCTGAATTTCTTTGGATCGCAGCATGATGTCCAGCTTTTGAGGATATTTTGGTCTACTTCACTTGTCAGGCTTGTCAGGCAGGTCCTATTTAAGTGATTTCTAGATTGAGAACACATGTGGCAGTAATCCTACATGGGGGCCATGTAGGTTTGGATTTTCCTCCCCTTAATATTTTTGTTTACTTGTGTTCCTTGTCTAATATTTCAATTTGTTTGATGATCTGAAACATTTCAATGTGACAAACACACCACTGTATATATATACTTAACCTCACGTAAATATACAAACTAACCTTGCGCATACATAAATACTCACCTTGTGCATACAAACATACTTACAAATGACAGTATGTATGTGCATGACAGTATGTATGTATAGCAAGTGTGTATTTACACATGTGTAAACAAAGTATTCAATTTTGGCCTAGGCGGCTTCTCATACATAAACACTTGCTTTCATCTTTCACATGAGAGTGAGGCAGGGCTTTCCAGCTTTGCGGGAGTGACTTGATTACCATCACTGCATATGCCGGTGTCGCATCAGCTGGGCGAAGTTGATTCTCGCCGAGTCGGCTTTATCAGTTTTACATTGGTTTTTCAATGCTGCTCCACTCAGGTGCGCTGCATGCTTTTCAGAAACGTAACGAAGTGAAAGTAAATAGTTGCAACAACTAAAAATACTCAAGTAAAGTACAAATAACTAAAAAAAATACTTAGGAACAGTAACAGTATATTTGTACTTTGTTACTTTCCACCACTGCATCACAGTACATCATGTGCACATAGATGGCACAGAATACCTGGCATAGTACAATACCTGCTATTCACCACAAGTAAATGAAACTGTAACAAGTAGAGACCATACACTGTAACAGTCCAGCAGAGAGCAGAGTAAACAGCTCTCCATGCGCCCAGATGCTTGATGGGGAGCGACAGTTACAGCATCCCAAATAACAATCACTCTGACAAAACACTCCATACAGAGTGAGTCATAGAATAAAGAGAGACATCCTGCAGATAGAAACGTATGAAAGAGCAACGGGAGTTAATAGATCGCTAGAATCATTGTAATTATAATACATTCTCTTTTTTAACATTTTAAGATTTGAGTGGAAAGTCAACGTCAGAGTGATCCAGGAAAAACGCAAATGCATAGTTGACTTTTATTAAATAACATTGAGTCATTCTTGTGGCTGCATCTGAGAGTCTGTCTGATCTCTCTCCAGGAATTCTGTGTTGGGCACAGCCCTGCTGATTAAACACTCAGAGGGTTTCAGCTGCATTTAGACAATCTGACAAGCTCTTCATGTGAAGCATGCTGAGGTACAAGGCTTTACAGTAATCCTATCTGGGTGAAGTTGAAAGAAATCTCATTTCTTGTTGTTCAAATGTATGAATATGTGAATATATTTATGCAAAAATGACAAAACCTTTGATATTCAGAGACAGAAACTTTTATTGCTTATGTTGTGAACAAAAATTCCTGTACTTTGGCTTTTCAAATTCCATACTACTTTTGAAAGAACAAAATGGGGAGACAAAACTAGTCCCTTCTGGAGTAAAAATAACTTAGTCGCTTATGACCCAAAAGCCTAAGAGAATGGATTCTACATTCAAGAGCACAGAGACAAAGCAGCACTACAGAGCAATACCATTCAATCTGGGAGAGACAAGGTTTTCTCAGTAAAAGGCTCTTTGACTGCTCACCCTGAGGAAAAATAGCCATTACTGCCACGATTGCCCTCAGGGCCACGCAACAGCCAGGACAGAGAGCCGACAAGAGGCCACTTTTCTGAGGCAACGGATAGCTGGCACATCATCACCACGCTCTTAAAAGGGAATCATGGCCTTTATATTCCCAGTAGATCACACACACAGCCAAAGACGAGACCGGGTCAAATGTGACTAAAGCTATCGCAAAGCAATTACTTGATAGATAAGACAAGATGTAACAACAAGGAAGGAGAGCGCAGAAGTGGTTCATGGGAAAGGGGGTAAATGTGAGATTAGGCACACACCTGTTTCCTGGAGGAGAGCGTGCTCTTTGGCCGGCCCTGGCGACCCCCTTTCCTGCTTCAGACACTTCCCGGCAGCTCCAACGCAGTGTAGTGGCGCTGGTGTCTGGATGGTTGGGCAGGGGGCTGAGGGGACACAGGCTGCATATTAGAACATTGAGTGGTTGGTTGGTTTGGTTTCTTGGTTAAATTAACTCGTTAGGATGTGGTTGGATTTAACACGTGCTGTAGGGTTTTTTATAGATCTCAAAATCCCACAGAAAGGCTCAGTTGATATGAGTTTTGAATGGCAATAAAAAACCTTTGGATTCATATTTAATTAAATTCATATTTTATGTCAGTACTGAATATATTTGAACATCTATTTGAATATATATTTCATCCTTTCTTTATCAGGAGCTTTGTCCCCTAAAATACAAATATTCATTGTTTTTTCACCAGAATTGAATCCTGTCAGGATGGAGGATCTTCCTAAACAACGTATTGCAGCACCACCACTACAACAGAAAATCAATCATACTGCACAAAATCCATTACTTGGATTTCTGCCTGAACCAATTTTAAATAAAGTCTTTTGATTTTGGCCCAACATGTGACGTAAGCCATAAGTGTATTTTCCTGCCTGGTTTTGTGTCAAAATTCAGAGAGTTGTTGCCCATCAACAATCTTAATATTGATTTTAATAAAATAGTCTGTATTGGATGTGTGGACGCATATACTAATAAGGAGAGTCCATTCACGCAAGTGCATTTGTGATGATAAGAAGTAATACATTGTTTGGACTCTTGGCGCAGAAGAAACAAACTGCAAACACAGCCTTGAACTATTATCACAATGTTGCAATGGAGAATGTGTTAACAAACAGTTGCCTATTTACACATCCAGCAACAACATTAGCATTGAGTTGTGTCTGTGTCCCCCTGATGAATATGAATCTAATATTCACTCTTTTAGCTCTGTTTTGGTCTCCACGAACTCCTGAGAAAATGAACAGGCTATCTAGCTGCTAAATGCTCCTCTATGTTCACCAGCTACTTACTAAATCTGCTGTTAGGTGCTGAGCAGTTAGTGTATGGTGTGTTTATGAGAGATTTCCACTGACAATAACTGGAAACAAAGCTGACGAGAGCAGTGAGAATAAACCAAAATAATAAGATGAAAGATCCAAAATAAATGCTAAAGCTGAGGGGAACTGCAGAGTTGGTTATAGTTCTCTGTCCCTTTCACATTACACTTTATCACTGGACACATTATTAATATAAAATTACGAATTAGTTTAACAAAATAATTACCAAAACCCAAAACAATGTCATTAACCTGTATCTAAGGTGCAGATAACCTTAAAGCACAATGTAATGATGAATAAACTGATCTTCATGTGTAAAATTGGTGGACTGACACCTATTAAAAGTAATTTAAAAAAATGAAACCATATTTATCGATCTGGATTGAAAGATCTTTACAGTACCTGAGGTAGAGGATCCGTGCTATCAGGCCATACAGCACGATGGCGAGGAGCAGCGGGATGACGTAGAAAATGGCAAAGTCAATGAGGTAGATGGGCAGATAGAGCTCCCGTTTCACTTTGTAGCCACACTGCACATGTCCGTCCTGGCTAACCTGAATGTTACACAGTTATCGTAGAGGTGCTGTAATAAAACAGGCTAGTGTCTCACAGATTGGCTCTGGGCTGAGATACACATAATAATCTTTCCCATCTCAACATAATAATGCTACTCTGAGATATTGCAAAGAGCTCTTAAAAAGCTTTTCACATTCCCCTGCAGTTTACTCCTCTGTTCATGACTCTGCTACTACTACTGAAACACTATGCAGTCCTGTGAAGGGTACTGTTTTTATTTTCGTAAATATATTTATATTCATATGTACAAAAACACTTATTTGGATTCTTCACTTTCATTCTATGTATTTTACTTTATTGTGGCCATGGTACACAAATATTTATCCTATGCCTTATATTTCAATCAATAATTGAAGGTCACTCTGCTGTAGCCCCCATCCAGTTGAATCAGTGACACACAAAACGTAATGCACAAAATATTTCTCTAACCTGAATGTCCACCAGGAAAAACCACAGCATGCAGTAGATACAGGTGAAGATCCAAACCCCTGCAATGATCCGCTTGGCCCGGGACACTGTACACACTGTCTGAGCCTTCATTGGATGGCAGATGGCTATGTACCTGCATACGAAGAGGAAATGGAGGGTTCAAACACAAGTAACTCACAATGGCTGTATATTTTAACTGACAACAATGTGTTGGTAAATAGATACCACTGAGCTATTCATGTATTCCCCTGCACTGTGACACTGGATAATGGCACCTTTTCTCTAGCTTAACGTCAATTTGGGACTCATTTTATGCATGCTGTATGTAAAGCATTTTGTTAGATATTCATATATTCATCCATGCATTTGGCATGAAAGCTGAAAATATAGGGAAAGACTGTTGGTCAGATTATTAATATGGTTATATTATGTTTTGTTTTACCTTGTGCTGCTGCTCCGTTAATCTGATTGCATTCAGTTTAGACTTTTGTAAAGTGAATACAGAAATGTTACTAAATCCGACCGTGCTGGATTGCTGTCGTGGCTTTCATGTATAAGCGCAACATGTTAAATTGCAATCAGATTAACATAAAGGGGTGCATGTCTGAAAGTAGCTGTAGAGGACAAACTTATATCCTTCCATCTTAAATCATGAACAGAAAATGCACGTGAGATTTTTATAAAACATCAAATTAATAGTGTGCAAGAATATAAAAGACCATACAAGTGTTGTTGCACTTACACTTTCTATTACTGTCAACCAAGTTAAATTACACTGTTTACACTTTTTGGACTGACTTGTAAACCTTTCATGAAGCCATTGTTTTCCATTTATTTCCATACAGTCTTTAAACTTGCTTAGAGGTAGTTTTGTTAGAATAGACCTATGACAGACTTTTCAAATCAATTGTCAGTTATAGCTGCATTACCTTATATAATATAATAATATATAATACAATAATATAACTGTGACACTGTAAAAGCACTTTGAGTGGTCAAAAAGACTATACAAATACGGAGCATTTACATTTACACTAATACAGACAGCACTCATGTTGTGTGTGATGTATTGCCTAAGCTTTTCAAAGTATCTCCAAGTTTAATTATATGACTTAAGGTGGTAAAACACACTACAGTATGCTTTGGGAAATGTTTACAAGTATAGTGTAGCGTATGCTGTATACAAGTAAAGCGATTGGGGATTTGGAGATTGGCAGGTGCAACTGAGATATTGGTCTTGATTTCTGCTTCCGCCTTATAACAGTGGAGGTGAATGGAATTGGATTTTGATTCTTCGGTCGAAAGTAGTTCCAATTAAAACAGTGGATTCTAAGGATTATCCAGAGTAACTGGGACACAGTGTTTTGGTTGTTGATTTTTTTGGTTGCATTTACTGTTAATTTTTGATCTCATATATTTGTACTTTCTACCCAGAAGGATAAAATGTTTTCCCAAATGTGACAACCCTATGGTTTGGTTAGATTTGGGAACAGAAACTACATGCTTGAGGTTAGGGAAACATTAAGGTTTAGGTTAAAATTACTATTTTGTTAAAGTTAGGGTACTGAGAACAGTTAGTCTGTTCTTTGTTCGTCCTCACCTCTCCACTGTGAAGGCGGTGATGGAGCAAGAGGAAACGTTGATGCCTAGGTACTGAAGGTAGGTGATCCCCAGGCAGCCAGCATGGCCAAAAACCCATGTGCCTATGAGACTGTCCAACACGTTGGGCAGCCCCGCTGCCACCAGCACCGTCAGGTCGGCTATAGCCAAGCTGACTAGGTAACAGTTGGTTGGTGTCTTCATGTGGCGAGTGGTGAATACCACGAGGACCACCATAATGTTGCCCACGATGCCAATGCTGCACACCAGCAGGACCAGAAACACGGACACTGTCTTGAACTCCAATGACTCCGAGATGGCGACACTAGGACTCAGAGAGATGTTGGTTGGGGTGTCGATTCTGGAGCTCACGTTGTCGTTCATATCTGCTAACAGCTGGCCTTTTTCTTCCCCAAGTATTTGTTAATCAAAGGTTACGTTCATTTGAGTAAAGCTAAGTAATGAGGGGCACGACTCTGAAATGTGGTCATGTTTTTTCTTCTTCATTTAGAGCACAAGCTCTCTTTTAAAGCCAGTCCAATTAAAAGTAGCATATGGCATTGACTATTGTGAAGCTTTATGGTCTCACAGATTTGATTGAGTTCTTACTACAGAGGAAGCAACTGCTGTGAATTTGCTTGCTATAAGTCTTTGATCACTGAGAAGGGGAACTAAGCACTATCCTTGTTTTCTTGTCTTTGATATTTCCTTCCTTAGCCATTCACCTTCACCGTCTGACCCTCACTGTCTTCCTTTTAAATAATGTATAAAGTGAAAAAGAATAACACGTTGAATGTAATTATCCCAGGACTTCCAAACACCACTCTGGCTCCCATTGGGTCACCTAGAAATACAAAATGTGTCGAATTAATTGGACAAAAGTGGTCATGCAATCAGATAAAGCATATGTGGTTAAAATAAAGGGAAGGGGGTTCAGAGCAATTCAAGCTGGTGGTGTCAAATGGCACTGAGATATAGCTGCTTGATTATTTTGTTCTGTAATTGCAAAAATTATGTACGAAAAAAATCTGCAGTCCATTTTTCTCTGCAGTATTTTGTAGAATATGAGATATCTTGCATACAAAGTTGACACATTATCCTGTGAGTGGTGTTAGGGTAAAGCTCATGGAGTGTTAAAAGGTTGTGTTCATTAAATTACATGCCAATCGGACCATTTTATATGGCTGTACCGAGTAGTTATAATTCGATGCAACTTTTTGTTCATGTCTATTCATTCAGCAGCACAAAGGGCCCAAAAACATAGTGCCCAGGTTACATCGCTGTCTCCGTCTCTCTCCTCTGCTCTCTGTTGTGTGTGTGTTTGTTTGAACGAGGGCAGGGCTGAGCTGCACGATGGAGGTGATGGGGGGGTAATGACATAATATATGATATATATTTGAAAACCTCAGCAGAAGCTCTGAATGTAAAAAAATTACCTTTGTTACAGCCCAACCACTATATTTTAAAAATTAAAATTTGGCTAAATGGGGGTGCTAAAGGAAAGGTCAGCAGGTCACAGGTGGATTAATTCTCTCTCTGATAAATGGCAATTGTCATATTTGTCATCAAGTCTCACCATTAGATTTATTGTCTATCACTGTCGTTCCTATTCAGTCACTCAGGACAAATTCAAATGAAAATCAAATTTCAGTACTATAAATGTCTGTACTCTACGAATCAAATGAGTATCTTCAAAAGTCAGTGTATATGTAGTACAAAATTAACTCAAACATTTTTGATACCCACTTAATTTGTCTAATTCATGCTAGTTTGGGCAGAACTTTGCAAAGCCTTTTTGCACCAAATGAAGACTGCGGAGCTCCGCTGGAACTGCATCTGGAATGATACTCTTCATTGCAGTGTGGAGATAAGGAATAATTGGGCCTGCTGCAGCTAATATCTCTTTCAGTGTACATATGACAGACTTAAAATATTTCCTATCCTTCAAAACAGACTAAAAGGCGATTTAGCTGTGCTGTTCTGACAGTGACTTCAGATAATGCTTGAGAGAGAAGGAAGACTAGCATCACGCAAAAGCATGTACGACACGTGCCATTCCATCATGGTGTGTTTTGTTTCGTCTAGGCAAGTTACCAGTACTCAAAATACAACTTCCAGTTAGACTGTAAATAAAGCTTGCTGTGAAACATTTCGGGTGACTGTGCAGTTTGGTTAGATTAAGGCACTAAAACGATTGGTTAGGTTTAAGATCACAGTTTGGGTTAAAATGAGTACTTCCTTAAAACAGTCAACAACGACTATTGGTTTCAAATGGGACCCAAGCCCCAGTCCCCTGTGTGAAAGTCCTGTACCTGCCTGCCTGCCCATCCATCCATCCCCACTCCTGTTGCTCCTGTTGAGTTTACTTCTGACACTGGATCAGCAGGTGTATTACTAGGCTGCTCATTTCACAGAAAACATGTTTCTGCAATTCCTCTTTCCTTGCGTCTTTTCTTTGCATTTCTCAATCAAGTGAGGGAAATGTGGATGAAATTAAATGAATTAAGATGTACCCTTTGACCAGAGTATCAAGTGCACATTTCTGACCTGATGGTGGTGCTAAGGGAATGTGGTCACATAAAACACTAATGGTGCTTTCAGACCAAAAGCGAAGTGAGTGTTGGGGGCGGTGCGTTTACACACAAAGTTAATGAAAATACGCAGAGAGCCACAATTTCCTGCCGGAGACGCGAAGGCCTTCATGTGAGTTGAAAATGTTCAACTTTAGCGAGAAAGTCGCATGACACGTGATAGCCTATAAGTGTTGAGATTGTCCGGATGTCACCGACGGCTTCAGACCGCTGTTTGTAGAGGACCAGGCCAACGGAGAACTGCTAAACTACGGGGAAAAGCCGAGGACAGAGTCAGGAGCAGCGCTGCAGCTTCTGGACGTATAAACACCCATAGTCGGTCTGGATTATGCTCTGACAACTACGTTTACGAGCCCAGAGTTAACTGCTTTTAATTAAATTATCTGTTTACTTTAGTTTTTGGGATTACAGCATTGAGTTATCTTCACTCGAGCTTCTCAGCAGCTAGCTTTCATCCGTTTCTGGTTCCACTGTTGTTGTTAGCGCAGGTTGGCACCCAGAGGTCTGCTGGACTACTACTTCATATTGATATAAAAACTGGACAAAGGACATTACTTGTAGAAAAGAAAGGGAGGAAGTTGAACTATCTGGTGACTTCAAAATTTGTGTTTTTGTAACTTTATTCCAGCTATCGTTGTGCTTTACCTTGAACAAGTAAGCGTAGCACGGCCCTGATCGATCCGAAGTCCATTCAGAAAACAAACATTTTAGAAGTTGTTGTCCTGCTGTCTTGCTGACAGACCTGACAAAGCATGAATTCATATGTTTAACAAATCTGTATCAAATTGTAGTTATTTCGGCATCAGTTTGACCCGTTTATTGCTATTTAATTACAACAAAATGTTTACTTTGGGTTCATACAGCTGTAGTGATCACAAGCTGTGTTCATTCGTGTTATCACATTATGTGTGAACTTTTGGTAGTTGTCCAGCGATAAAACCCCCTTGAGGAAAGCGTTGCGAGGATTAAATTCACGTTTGGTCTGAATGCACAGTAAGAATCCTGTCCACAACAAATGTCATGGCAATGTGGTCAGTAGTGAAATAATGTGATAAAATAGATCTTGCTCTGACATGCCAACAGATAAATTGCACTGTACAGCTTTGAGAACCAGAGCTGAAACCATGCCTGGTGAAGGTTTAAAGAAATCCAATGTGGATATGGATTAACACCCATTCTGGTGCTGCTGAGCATGTAGTGTAACAAATAACCCCTATTACTGCACTCAAGTTGTAAACACACTCAAAGACTGCATTAAGATCATTTTAACATAATATTTTGACAAAAAACACAAATAAGCGTAGTGTTTATTGTCCTCTCATAATGCAACTATGATGCCTCCTAGTGTATTACCGGCAAAGTTACAGCCACATTTCTAAAATCCTGTACAGCAGAAGATTTTCTGATTAAAGTTATTCTTCAACTATGACTATTAGAGGACAGTGTAAACCATGTTTTTCATCCAAAAAAACCTGATGTATGTTTCGAGGTTTCACATTCTTCTGAAAACTAATAAACCAATGTGCAGCACTGTGAAAGTGTTACAAAGCATCTGTTGTTCACTGCACTCAGGACCCAGCCCAGTCACATAGAAATATCAGACCTCCCCTCCTGAGGACTGCCGCTAATAAACTGAGGTGGACATGAAATGAAATGAAATTTAGTTCCACTATTCTGCTATCTATAATACTCCATCATGTCTCCATCACACTGATCATCTGCACATTTCTGACTATCCATCATGCTTGGCTGAGTGAGGTGGTTGGAGGGCTTCCTGTTGTACTGCACTTTACATACAGATACAAAATATCTTTTCAACATGAGAAAAGGGGAGGAGGCAACTAATCAAATTAAGATCTTACATAAATATGTACATATTGATGATTTTTGGTCTTAATAAAAGAATAGTTTGAGATTTTGGGAAATACACTCGCTTTCTTGCTGAGAGTTGATATCAAACACAAACAGCAGCAGGTCTGGAACAAAGCTTTAACACACACAGTTATGCAAGTAGAATTTGGGTAAAAATAAACTAGTAAATCTGACTTGCTAGAGAGAGAGAGAATAGCTTATTACTAGAAATTAGAATTGATCTGCACCAAACCTACAGCTGCTCCACTGCACAGTGGCCATTAGTAAATGAAAGTGTGGCATCTGTGTTTATGTGACAGATGAAGCACTATGAATTTGAATGAATGAATCAGCATGGAGCTTGGGCCCGGCGCCACGTGCGGTCTTAGGGCACTTAATGCCCTCAATTGTATTTTTTGTCCCCTCTGCTTCAGCTTCATTTATCTGTATCAAAATAGCAAAATCAACAAAATTATGGGCCGAGATACAGATACGAGATACATATCGCTTAGCTGTTGTTTCTGAACAATGGATAGCACTGTTTGTTGTGTGTTTAGGGGGTTTATGCGCTGCATACAAAGTTAAAGAATTGCCTGTGTGTTTCCTGGCTTGTTTGCTTAGCCATAAAATGCAATTCAGGAAGAAGGATGGATATCAGAACGCGGTTTTGTAAGAAAAAAACAAAGCACAGTAGAGACCCCAGCCAAGGCCAGTAGCCCCAGCAGCAATGATACCACTGGTATCAAGCTAGCTCCACCAGTTGCAGAAGAAGTTACTCTGGCAGTGGCTCCTTCCACTCGAGCATGATCAGAATGGCAATTTTGGGGCACCTGCTACCCAGATAGTTAATGCCAGAAAGATTGGTCTAATGGCAGGGAGTGGCTTTAAGATTCACCAGATGCTGATGCTGCCTTTTTGCTTTCCACGTCAGTAGTTTAGTATTGGATGTAGTACTAATGCTGATAAAGCCTTTACACAAGCCAACTTCTCTAATTTGAAATGTGAAACCAAAGATTTTGCGAGACATGCATCCAGAAAGGACCATTTGAAATGCATTGCTCTCTGAATGGAATTCTGTGGCCATAGTGCGACAGGATCTAAAGTCTCCACACTTGTTAACAACTGGCAAGGACTCGCTTAGAAAAGGCTACAGGACTAAAGGTGGACTGGTCACCTGGCCACTGTGTCAGTCATCTTTAACAGTTATGACGCTGTTGTGCAGTTCCTCGCAGAGATTGACAGTAGTGGCCTTCACACAGAACTAAGAACAGAGGCAGCAGGGCTCCTAAAAGTATTCCAAGACCCCCGCTGCAGGATTAATGCAGTTATGGTCCACAAAATCCAAAAAAGTGTTACAGGATGAAAAAACAGACCTCTACATTGGAGTGACGGCTGTGA